TCTTGGTAGCTCTCAGGCTCCCCTTGATCAGAAATCAACATAAACTCATTGGGAGGATACTTTCTCGAAGGTTGTCAGTCCCTTGTAGATTTTCTCAACTCAAGTTGTGGTGGTGGTTCTTGAGTTGGATGCTCTTCCTCAATTTCTGGCTCAACTTCATTAGGATTAGCATCATCCTCTACATCTTCAATAGGTGGTTGCACATCTCCCCCGTTTTCATCATCAACTGAAGATGAAGGAGATGGATCCATGTCAATGAGGTCACTAGTTTTTGGCTCCGGTTGATCACCTTTGCCAAAGTCTTCAATTGTTTGGTCTTCAAGAAACACAACATCACGGCTTCGAATGATTTTCTTGTCGACCGGATCCCACAATCTATACCCAAATTCATCACGCCCATAGCCAAGAAAAATACATTGTCTTGACTTGCTATCAAGCTTGGGCCTCTCATCTTTTGAAATGTGAACAAAAGCTCGGCAACCAAACACTCTCAAGTGCTCATAAGATACATCTTTGCTAGTCCAAACTCTTTCAGGAACATCACCATTCAAAGGATAGGAAGGAGACAAATTGATCACGTTAACTGCTGTCTTCATTGCCTCACCCCAAAAGGATCTTGGCAATTTAGCTTGTGAAAGCAAACACATTGTTCTTTCCACAATGGTGCGGTTCATCCTCTCGGTAACGCCATTTTGTTGAGGAGTTTTCTTAACTATCTTTTGATGCCGAATACCTTGGCTGTGACAATACTCATCAAATGGCTCAATGTATTAATCACCATTGTCTGATTGGATGCACTTCAATTTCTGCCATGTTTCTCTTTCAACCATGGCCTGAAAATGTTTAAATACTTCTAGAACTTGATCTTTAGTTTTTAGTAGAAACGCCCAAACTTTCCTTGAATAATCATCAATGAAAGTAACAAAATAAAGTGCAACACTATGTGTTCTAACTTTTAAAGGACCACAAACATCCAAATGAATCAACTCCAAAACATTTTCTTTTCTAGAGGTAACATTTTTATGAAAAGAAACTCTATGTTGTTTACCCGCCAAACAATGAACACAAGTTTTAAGATGTGTACCTTTCAAACCGGGTAAAAGTTCTTTCTTGAACAATACTTGCAGCCCCTTTTCACTCATGTGGCCAAACCGCTTGTGCCACAATTCGGTAGAAGTATCATCTTCAAGTGCATTGACAACACCTTTACAAATTTTTCCTTGCATCGAATAAAGTGTATGAGTCTTCTTACACTTAGCCACCACCAAAGAACCCTTTGTGAGCTTCCATATTCCATCACCAAATTTGTTGTTGAGGCCTTCATCATCTAGCTTCCCAGTAGAGATCAAATTGAGGCGAATGTCGGGAACATGCCTCACATCTTTAAGCAATAACTTGCAGCCCAAATTTGTTTCCAAGCAAACATCACCCATGCCAATAATCTTGGACAAACCTTCATTACCCATTCAAACAAAACCATAATCTCCTTCGGTGTAGGTAGTGAAGAAATCAACTCGAGAAGTCACATGAAAAGAAGTACCGGAATCAATCACCCAATTGCTCTCTTGGCCTACAAAATTGATACAATCATCTTCATAAACAACCATGAGATCATCGGTAGTAACTGCTGTTGTGTCTTCTTGCTTCTTATCCACACTTTTGTCACGCATTTTCTCCTTATTTTTGAGCTTTCTTCGGCATTCTCGCTTCATGTGCCCTTTCTCATGGCAATAATAGCACTCAATGTCTTTCTTTGAAAAAGAACTATCTTTTGATTTGTCACGGCTTTGATCACGACCATGAGGAGTCTTACTCCTCCCCCTTGTTTTACTTTGGCCTCTCACAACAAATGCTTCTGAATGAGAGGAACTCGCTAATTTTCTTCTAGTTTCTTCATTCAATAGGCTACTAGTGACTTGGCCCATTGTGACAACTCCATCGGGCGCCGAATTACTAACAGTCACAACCAAAGTTTTCCAACTTTCCAGCAAAGAACTAAGTAGCATCAAAGCCTACAACTCATCATCAAAAATAATTTTCATGGAAACAAGTTGGTTAACAATACTCTTTATTTCATTCAAATGTTCTGGAATGAGACTGCCATCTTTATATTTTAAATTAACCAATTTACGAAATAGAAAGGCTTTATTTGTGGCTGATTTTCTATCATAAAGGCTTTCTAATTTTTTCCATAAATCATGTGCTGAAGTTTCAGTAGCAACATGATGAAACACACTGTCATCAATCCATTGACGGATAACACCAACGACTATTCGATTAAGCCTATTCCATTCATCATCTTTCATACCCTCGGGTTTGCCACTATCACCCTCAATGGGTCCATACAAATCTTTACAAAATAAAAGGTCCTCCATTTTAGTTTTTCAAGTTACCCAATTACTTCCATTGAAGCTAGACATACGACCCACATTCCCCTCCATTGATTTACACAAATAAATAAACCCAAATAAACCGTAAGCTTTGATACCAGTTGTTAGGGAAAATATGTGATTCTCCACAAGTAAATCAATCAATGGGAACAAAAACTAATGCGGAAAAATTAAATCAAAAGCAACACACGAATTTTTACATGGTTCCCTCAATGAGAGGTACGTCTACGGGATCAAAATCCGATTCCACTATCAACCAAATAAGTTTCCAAACGATTACAAACGAGGCATGAATGGTCTCACAAACTACCCTTAGGTGAATTCTAAATAATCACAAATAAATAAGAGGAAAAATCTCACTAAATAGATGAACTAAAATCTTCAGAACCAGAATTGTAGAAGGCCTAAAATAATAATCCAAATTAGGTCCAAAATTGAGACTATAACAGCATCAAAATTACTCACAAAGAACCCACCAAATTTTGATCAAAAGCTGCTGCTCACCCACCAAAAACCAAACTCACCGAATAATCAAAAATATATTGTAGCTGCCGTTATTGCTATATATATATATAGTTGAGTGTTGGGTTTTGTAATCAAATTCTAATTGTTACCAAATGGAACTGTGTCTCTAAAAATTAGATATAATATATTATATCCAAATCAAAATAAATTAAAATTCTTTTTTCAAAATTAATTAAGTCACAAATTTCAATAAGAAAGGATCTGCAACTTTTTGTTAGAACATGAGACAATTTGAGGATGTCTCAGGAGTGTTGAGAGTAATGGGTGAGATCCGCAACTTTTTGTTAGGACATGAGACAACAAGGAAGCTTGGCATTTAGTAATTGATAGACAACCCCAAACCATTTAATATATATATATATATATATATATTTGCACCTGTACTGTGGGCCACATGAAATACTTGTTGTTTTCACAGAGCAAACGAACAATAAGTTTATTATTTAAAATTTATTTTTCATATTTTTTTTTTGAGAAAATTACCATAAGACATTTAAATTAATTTTTTATTATATATATTTAGAAGAACAGAAAATGATTTAAATGAAATAATAAAATTAACTGAAACAACAGAAATTTTAGGAAAACAACCCATGAAATATTGGGAAAGAAATAAAATTTTAGTTAGTTTAGATATAAAAAATAAAGATTCACTACTATAAAAACAGATAAAGATCACACTTTTTTTGTGTGATGTTTGTTATTTAATCAGACCTTTTAAGTTTTATTGAAGTGTGATCTTTGGGAGTGTGATTAAAAAGGGTCATTTTTAATCACACCTTTTATGTGTGATTAAAAACATTTAGATCACACCTTTTAAGTGTGATTAAAAACTAATAAAACCTGTGATAATAAACTTTAAATTACACCTTTTAAGTATGATTAATAACATTTAGATCACACATTTTAAGTATGATTAAAAACATTTAGATCACATTTTTTAAGTGTGATTAAAAACTAATAAAACTGTGATAATAAATTTTAGATCACATCTTTTAAGCGTGATTAAAAATATTTAGATCACATCTTTTAAGTGTGATTAAAAACTAATAAAACCTATGATAATAAACTTTAGATCACATCTTTTAAATGTGATTAATAACATTTAGATCACATCTTTTAAGTGTGATTAATTACTAAAAAGATTCAACATATTTGAAGAATAATCAATATTATTTTTGTACGTGTATTTCAAGAATGTAATACACACTATATACTATACTTTGAATCATAACCACATATTCAATGGAATAGTGCCATATATTTCATAAATGAAAGTTAAATATGTTCAAAAGTATATACAAAGGAATTAAATAAAAAAATTTAAACTGTGCTTACATAGATTAAAAAATAAAAATAAAAAAACTTGAAAAATTAAGTCCTTAAATTCTTTGATCATATTTTGCAACTCTCCAAGAAATTTCTAACCTGAAAAAAAAAACACAAATTAATTTAACAACTCGGATGAAAAGCCACACCAAACTAAATTAAATAAATTAAATTAAACTAATGATTGACTTACAATGACAAAGAGATTCCAACAAATGTCAAATATAGTCGGATTATTATAGGGCAGCCACATAAAATCGGGCAAATGAAGTCACTATCTAAAACTTTCGTAACAGATTGAAGAAGCATGAAGCTTAAATATACTTCATTTGACTTTGCATTTGCAATTCCCATGAAGGGCTGCTAAAAGGGTTAATTATGTAATGATGCCCCCAGAAACCACCAATCCATCAAATAATATAAACCTTTACTTATAGTAAATAAGTAAGAATTTCACATTATGATAACAGATACTAATAAGCTGAGAAAAGATTTCAATCTGCATAACCCGCCCAAGATTTGATGATCAAATTTACCCACCCAGAAACAAAACCATCATCCTGGTGATCAAACCAATAGGGAAACAAATCTAATCATCATCTCATTCTCTCGAGCAACTTTCTTAAGAATAAAATCTTTGCACGTCTCACAAATATTAAAATGCACAAAGTAATCGTTTGGTGTTTTTCATACAATTAGTCATGATGCAAAACAAGGATGGATCCACATCTCCAAAAATTTGAAAAATATCAAATATTATACTGAAAATTTTAAAATAATTTAAAATTATAAGGCCCCAAACATACTTTCGCACCCTAATCCATGATCCGTCCATGATGCAAAAGCCAGAAATATTGCATAATATTCTAAAAGACAGAGCATTTAAGAATAAACAGAACAATGTAAAGATAAACAAACAAGATGGTTGGATTTAAAGAGAATGATCAGATAGAGCTAATACAAATGCCATCATATAGGCGATCAAACCAATAGGGAAATAAAATCATGATCATCATCTCATTCTCATGCCAACATCAGATTTCCCTCATCCAAATTCTAGTATAAAACAAACAAACAGTTGTATCAATTAAAGTAGGAAACATAAAAAATAATATCTTTCACTAAATTAATTCATAATATAGTGAAATTATAAAGTTGAAATCTTTGTATGAAAGACATCGTCGTTCTGAGTTTCAGCTTTAGAAACTGATCATTTAAGATGTGAGAAAGAAAGAGGACATACCCTAAGTTGTCGAGAGGGCGAAGAATGTGTGGAGTGACGGCGGGCCTAGTTGCAGAAATAAGAAGAAGAGTTTAGGATTTGTGTGAACTAGGTCAAAGTAAGATGTATTTATAACCAATTACTAGGGAGGCGATTGTAAACCCTAAACCTAAGGTGCCGTTTGTTTTTAGCATTAGAATGGTATGAGATTAATAATATAAGGAGATTGGCCAGTGAGAGAATTAAAAAAGGTGTGAATTAAAAAATATATAAAATAATACACACTTTTAATTAGAATGTGTGATTAAAAGAATAATATTATAATCACACTTACTTAAAAAAGTGTGATTAAAAAGTAGAAGTGTATATAATAATCACACTTTAATTAAAAAGGTGTGATTAAAAAATATATAATAATCAACACTTTAATTAGAATGTGGTGATTAAAAAATATATATATATTAATATATATATAGTAATATAATCACACTTATTAAAAGTGTGATTAAAAAAGTAAAAAGGTAAAAATGGTAGTAGTGGGTATATATAATCAGCACTTTAATTAAAAGGTGTGATAAAAATATATAAACAATCACACTTTAATTAAGAATGTTGTTGTATTAAAAAAATATATAATCACACCTTGTTTAAAAAGTGTGATTAAATAGGTATGGGTGTAGTAGTGTAATATATAATCAACTTTTTATTAGAAGGTGGTGATTAAAAAATATATAGTATAATGCACACTTAAATTGAAAAATGACAATAAAAAGATAATATTATCACATCAATCAAAATTAGTGTTGACTTAAAATATACAATCTAAAATTTTTTTTATCATCACTTCGCAATAAAAGTGAGATCTTTTTTTTTTTTTTTTTTTTTGTCAAAAGTGTGATCTTTAAATATTTTTGTAGTAAGTGACTATAGGATTATATCAACACAATAAGATCATACAACAGCAGATATAGAAGTAATTTAGAAATACAGATTAAAGAGTTATTAGATTTAAGAAAGTAATTCAACCTAGTAATAATTTACATAGAAAGCCGGCATTTATGGTAAGAAATCCAGGCAAAGATAAAAAGAGGGAAAAGCTAGAATAGTTATAAATTATATAAAGATTAAATGGACAACACAGAAAGATAATAAATTCAATATACCCAGTATGAAAGATCAGCTCATAAATAAAATACAGACAGCAAGAATATTTAGCAAATTTGATTGCAAGTTAGGATTTTGGCTAATAAAATTGGAAAAGGAAGTATTGGTTGGATCCAATCTTTCTGTATGTGTAAAAAGATCAAAAATTCATGTTGTGTAACAAAACATAAACGACAAGAATATAAAGATAAGAAAATGAGAGAATTTGTTTGATTACAAATCAACTCGAAAATAAAAATAAATAAATAAAAATAGATTATTTTGTTAGCGAGAAACAAACATTTAAATAATGATTTTAATAAATAAACCAACACTGAAAATAAATTAAATAACTTACTGATTTAAATTTGTTCGAATTGTTTTCTGATCAAAGTCCAGTGTTTGACACTGTATGCCTTAAGACTATTTGTCCTTTCCACGGTGCTTTCAGATTTTAAGACGTCTATCTCCCAAGATGGAAATGATCTTACCCAAACAATAGCAGCACGTACAAATTGTTTGCCTTACGAACACACTAGTGGTTTTCACTCTTTCTTTCAGAAATAAAAATGGCAACAAAATGAAGATAGAAATAAGCAGAGGTGAAATACGAAATTTGAATGAATAAATCAAATGAGGGTGGTCCTATTTATAGATGTAAAAGGGTGGCCTCTTGGTTTAAACTTGAATTAGGTATGATACCTGTTGGTTTTGAATTCAAACATATTTGAATCTGTTAATAATTCAAACAGATAGCAAAAAACGGGAAGGGGCCCTGTTTGGGTGTGCACTAATTGCCAAACTAGTTTATTCTCTGTTTGAAAACGGGAAAGGCCGCTGTTTGATGTACAGAAATCAAAATCGGTTTATTTGAATTCTGGTAAAATAAATTAAATTCAAATGTTTAAGATTAGTATTGGGCCCGAACAAGGCCCAACACCACGCACCCCGGCCGGTAAAGCCACAGGCCTAGCCGCTTAGCGCCGGACGGGCGGCGGCGGCGCGCGTTGTGGTGATTTTGGGTCCAATGGGTCTAGCCATTTTGTCCATAACTCTCCCTCTAAAACACTTGGGTACCCCTTGGGCACACCTAAAGTATCTCACCCAAGCCTTGATAACCCTTCAAAACTTCTCACACAATAAATACGGGACAAGCCATTTTAACAAAACCTTAAAGGAATTTCGCACAAAAAACTGCCATTTCCAATTAGAGCACACTTTGGCTCAATTTTTCCAATTCACAGGTCGCGTAATGGTTTTTGAGCAACCAAATATACCACGTGAAATCATAACGCGGCATAGAAACAGCGTTACCACTTTTGACCCGAGTAAATCGACGCTCGGGCCCACCAAAAAATAGACAAAACTTGAGAAAAAATTCTGGTTTTCCGCAGAATTTTTTCTATTATTTCCAACAAAGTTATATTTGGACAACTTTTTTGTTGCCATAAGGCATTATGATGGCTAGTTCATAATCTTTTGGACTTAAAAATCACCTTCCATATTTTCCAGCGTAAGATGGATAGTATATTTAACAAAATATAGGTTTTTTATTGGTGTACATAGTTGTATATTAGTATTTAGCCCAGATAAACTAGTCACATAGATCAATTTATATGTAATATTAGAAAGAATTTATAAACAATGAAATAATAATTAGTAAAAGAAAAATGATATTAAATAAAGCCTCATATAGAATTTCTAAGGAATGGAGTTAGGAGATAGGAAAAATCAGAGCTACAACCCCAACATAGTAAAGAAATTTTAAGATTACTCAAGATAAATTAGGAAGATACAAAGCAGTTTCAATCATTTTTTAGGAAATTACTAAATTTATGTAAAGAATGTACATGGTCCTAACGGCTTATTCAAAGAAATAGGACTCTATATAGGCAAGATTAGCACTACAGGACAAAAAATAATTTTAACGCAACAAGGATATAGCTTTAGTAAGAAAAAAATAAAGATATTTGTAAAAATTTACCCGACTTACAAACTGTCCATTAGATTCTGAATATATAGTCGTTATGAAACTGATGGTATAGCCAATTAGGAATGGAGAACAGTACTAATTAAGTTAAACCTAGCAAAATAATGATAGTAAACAATAAAGAAGCGAATTTGGTAGATATAGTTCTGGAATTTAGAAAAGATACAACTATGACCAGCTATAGATTTTGAAATTTAGAGATAGTATGTGCAATAAAGCAAATTAGATTATTTTTATATAAGGCCCTTTTACAATTAGAACTGACTACGAAGCCATAGTTAACGTTTCAACAATAAACTTAATGAGCGTTAACTTTAGTAGTAGAGTATGGGCAAATTTTTAGATTGTATAGTAAGACAATGATTAAAAAAATGGAATTTTGAAACATATTAAAGGGAGTGATAATAAGTTAACAAATTGACTAGAGTTAAGAAAAATTCATATTAGAAAAAGAAAATAATCAAGTTTAATTTTTGTGCAAGTTATATGGAGAAGCAACAATAACAATAAAACTTTGGGGAGATTGCTCTTCCCATGTTATGAAGGCAGAACAAGTTCAACCAATTAACAAGAAATCCAGCTAAGACCGGCAGTTCACAGTGTTTTTTTAGATAATCTATTGGAATAACACCTTTAAACCCCAACCCCCAGGCTTAACGTTTTGTCAGTTTAAATTCTCTTAGTATATCTGCTTTTTTCAAAATTCAAAAATAAACTCTTTGTTTAAAAGCTTTTTTTTTTTTTTTTTTTTTTTTCCATATGGTAGCCTAAAGAAACCAAGCCCAATATTTTCCATGACATGGAATAGAAGTTAACCCTTTAGTTAAAAAACTTTCCCTTACCCGCAGTTCAAAAGGATTTTATGATTTGAGTCAGCCAATACATACGCTGCGTAGACAAATAGGAAACCAGTTATTTTATTAAGCCAAAGGCAGGCTAAAAAGATTATCTGGACAATATTGAGCAAGATGTAATCCAACCTCATTCTTGCTAGCAAATGGAGTTCCATATAAGTTAGATAAAGAAAGCAGTAGTACTAACGGCCCTTAGCCATATTCTTAAAATTCTCATTCAGTTGTTTGTAGACGAATTGCGAAGGCCTTAACCAAAAATTTTAAGAAAATTAGGATAAGAAGGGTAAAAAAGTCAATGAAAAAAAGCGAGACTAGCTCCGAGACGAGGAAAAACCAATTGAGGAGTAAACCATTTGAAACCTAACCAGTAGCTTAAAAACTAACTTCAGACAAAGCATCCACTCCCTTTCAAAACGCCTAGAAAATCAGAAAAAACCAAAACCCCCCTCCCCAACCTAAAATGAAAAAAGAGGGGAATTTGAACAATTGAGTGCTAGAATGTAATTTTTTTCAAGGCACTGCTATCAATTCAATCTTTTTTTGTGAGAAAAGGGCAAGAAAGTAGAAGACCTGAAACCTATGTATTACACCACTTAGCCCGGAAGATAGGCAGAAATAGTGAGCTAATCGCACTATACAACAGTTCTTCAAGACCTGTCGCATAGGCAGGAGTTTAGTGGCCCGGTATGGGCTATGCATGGACTTATTTTTTACAAATTGATGAAGAACACCATGTTTACAAAGAGGGACGATGTAAGAGAAAGACCAGAATGCTTTGGAGATATCAGTATAAATCTCGAATTTTAGCATTTTGTCTTTGCCAGAATAAATCTAGTAACTTTTTGAGCCACTAGAGATAAAGAGTTAGAGACAAACTCGCTATCTAAGCAGCTTGGCAGCTAATTGGTAGATACGAACTTTGTTTCTAGAATAATTTTTTCAAATTTTAAGAACAGACAGATAATGTTTGAGAATAAACTTACTGATTCCAGTACTTTGTGTAATGGAAGAAGGCATCCATCGCATTTGGTAGAAGTATTTAATTGACAGGCAAGTTTACCAGAATGGAAAATGAATAGATGCATTCCCGCCAAGCATGAAAATGACTTCAGAGG